ATGACTGACATAACTCAGAATAACACAAAAACGTTTTACTAGAAAGAGAACTGATGAAAAATAACAGCTTCTAAACAGAACCTCAGTTATTATATATATCATTGTTATTGCGTATGTAGTATTTGAGCTTGGATTTTTAATAATTCTAAATGTTTTTTAAAGATAATAAAATCGTCTCTACACTAACCACACCATGTCCGCTGATGAGCTCATAGTGTGTAAAGCTCTTCCTCAGCGTTTCTCTGCGGCTCCTAAAGAGTCTGAAGGAAGAATTAGCATCTTAATGAGGCTGTTATGTGGTGAAAGCTAGCTGCTCCCATTTAGCGTGTATTAATTGAGCAGCAGTGCTCAGTGTAAACTGTGATTTGATGGTCATAATCCTCTAAAGTTCAGAACGCTTATCTGTCGTTTTAAGTTATGCAAAATTAAAAACGTTATCTATAAGCGAACTCACTCTGACGTGTGTGATGTGTGTGTTTCTCTCCTTTACGTAGAAATGAGACGCTTTCTGTCCATTTAGGACAAATGATTTAGTTTAGTTTATTTCTGAGCTGTCAGTCATCGTTAGTGCTGATGTCTCTCTGCTCGGCGGTGTTCCTGTAGCGCTCCTCACCACTCTTACAAAAGATGGTCCTTCAGGGGTTCTTTAATAAAGATGAAGGGGCTGTACAGAACCATGAACGCTTAAGGAACCCTTTGAATGCTTGACTGATTCTTTACATGTGAAACAGTCCTTCAGATTGATGGAGTATATGTTTATAAGGTTCTATATAGCACCAGAATGGTTCTTCTGTTGCTACAAGCCTGACATCGTAACAAGTTCTTTGAGTGTTCATGGTTCTGTATAGTTACTAAAGAACCCTTGAAGAACCATTTTTTTAGGAGTGTGAGATGTTATTGGATTGGTCAAATAGAAAACTGACCAAATGGTCACCAAACTTTTGCATTACACTGTATCTGCAAATCTAAATCTCACGCTGTAAATATGATTTTATACACTGTATGATGGCAAAAACACACTTACTACACAAACACGTTTCTTGGCTGCCTGGTCAGTGGTGGTCCTATTGTGGGTCTGCAGCGGTCCTGTGGTGGTGGTCCTCCGGTGGTCCCTGTCCAATAATGGACGGCTGATGAACTGCAGCAGCAGATGGGCTTTTAAACCTACAAAGAGCTCCTGATTCCCCGTTTCTGATAAACTGTCTGAGGTACAAACTAATAAACTGGATAAATAAAGTACAGAAGTGTCCTCTCCGGTTAGAGCTCCCATGATGCTCTGGGCCGTGATTGGCCTTTTCCTGCTTCTCTTAAATCCACTCCGGTTGGTGATTGTGCTTTAGTGGGTGAACTTCTCCTTTTATTGTGGGTCCGTTTGGGTTTTTTCCTCTCGTAGCCATCACAGAAAACACTGCCCAGAATGTAGCGTCACCTTTTCAGACACTGGAACAGTGTAGATGGTGGATATGTGGTATATGAATGTGGACGGTCAGCTTTGCCTTTTATAACACTGGCGAATCACTCTATGGTGGTCAGTAAATTAGAATTAATAGGATAAATGTTAAATATGTTTTTGCTAGACTTGTCTGAGTTGTCAGCAGTGTGCAGGCAGTACTGATCTTTTTGCTCTACACACCTGCAGTGACCTACTTTGTATGTTTTATGGAGCACAACAGTAATGTTTATTCTTCCCTTTCCAATAATGGACGGCTGATAAACTGTGCAACACAACACAACGTGTACAGCACATTCTCCATCAGTCTGAAGGACTATTTCACCATGCAAAGAACAATTTAAGCATGCAGATGGTTCTCTGAGTGTTCAAGTTACACATTCTCTACAGAGAGCTCTCTAGTTCACACTTTATTACACAATTACTGTTCATTTGCTGAGTTTAATGTGTCGGGAGAAGAACAACTGTTTATGTTTTTGGATTGAGATGACCAGACTGACTGTCCAAGTCCAAGTCACTTCATTTCATCAGTACTGGAAAAATAGTCTAAATAAAAACCTGCTCTGTTTTGACTGAAACGGTGTGATTCGGTTGGCGGAGCAGGAAAGTTTATTCAGCTCGTTACTTTTAGTGGAATTAATTGCAAAAACCTCAACCACAGCATGAGCACTAATGAGGACAGTCATCATTCAATACTTTAGACTGTCTACAATCAGCTGAAATGGGAGACATAATATTATTGTGTTGTTTTTAATTATTTGGAACATGGATGCCAGTCCTGGATTACGTTTCCTTTCAATGGAGAATCTCCATTCAAAATTCCTTGTAGTCAAGCCTAAAAGGGAATTAGATCCATTCAGTTTTTCAAATTCCCCCATTATTCAGTGTGTGAGATGTAATCAGAGTGGTTCAGAGTGGTTTGGTGTGAAATGGTTCAGATGTCTTTACAGTGGTGGTGATGGGAACCAGGGGTCGCCATGACTACAGCACAGATATAGACATTTTATTTACTATCCAGAACCACCAGTGAACCTACACGAGTCTTCTGAGTTTATATGGAATGTTGATGATGGAAAATAGTGGAAAATCTGAAATCATAAGTTTTCTTTGGGGACTATTTGGCCTCACAGCGCCCTGCATGTATCCCTCCACCATGAATGGAGTTTAAGTTCTCTAAACTATCATAAAACAGTGTCTCAATTTAGCTACTTTAAGGTCACTCATTGCTGACACAGCTTGTATAATCTCCATAGAAAAGCACTGACCAATAGAATGAGACGCTCTGGAGCAGCTGCACCTGATCCTAAGGTCACCATGCCCAATGTCCAGTGTTGGGCTGTGGAGCAGTGGAACTGTGTTCTCTGGAGTGGTGGAGCTCCATCCAATACCTTTGGGATGAGTTGGAGTGATCCAGAACTGACCATCCAGCATCAGTACCTGACCTCACTAATGTTCAATCAAATCCTCACAGCAATGTTCAACATCTAGTGTAGAGCCTTCCCAGAAGAGTAGAGGCTGTTACTGCAGCACAGACTCACTATTAACACCTTCATTTTTCAGACTATGTTCATCTCTTTGTAATTACAGTCACGTCTGCTGTTCAGTGTTTAGTGTTATTCCATATTCTGCATTTTTCCCTCAAATCAATCTGACAGCTGTCCACGTGGAGCACAGTGATCAAAGACTGAATTATCATGCATGTTTCCTTTGAAGATGAAATATTACATGGATGTTGATTGCAGTGGGTTGAGCTCAAACAAATATGGCTGCTGAATTCTGATTAGACTGTGGCTTTACATGCAAATTACAACATAAACAGAGGAACAGAGTTACTTTACACAGACATTCCTCCTGTCCTTTCAGTGATGAGCGGGCTAGGGGGGTCTGGGCCACAGTCTGAAATTGTACACCTGTATAAGACACCTGCATGGTAGGTGTTTCTGATAAAATGGCCAATTAGTTTAGGCAAGGTAAGTTTATTTATACAGCACCTTTCATACACTGCTGATATTCAGAGTGCTTTCCAAATGAGAAAATACAGTCAGAAAGTGCAGAGTTAATGATTAAAACATGATTAAAACTGTAGATTTAACAGACAAAATCATTTCAATGAAAAAGTGGACGTAATTTTGATTTTGATAGGCTCCTAGTGGAATGCAAGTCGTTTTTTTTTTTTAAGATGATAAATAGTAAAGTTTATGCAGAAAAGTATTATAACACACACTGTATGGCCAAAAGCATGTGAACACCCCCCCTAATTACTGAGCTCAGGTGTTTCAGCCACACCTTTGTATAAAATCAGGCACATAGCCTTGCAGTCTCCATAGACAAACACTGGCAGTAGAGGGTCATACTGAAGAGCCCAGTAACTTGCACTGTCATAGAATGCCATATTTGCCACAAGTCAGCTGGTGAAATTCCTGCCCTGCTAGATCTGCCCCGGACAGCTGTAAGTGCTACTATTGTGAAAAGTATTCGTCTAGGAGTAACAACAGCTCAGAAGCAGTAGACCACGCAAACTCACAGAGCGGGACCGCCGAGTGTGTAGTGTAAAAGTCATCTGTCCTCTGTTGCATCACTCACTATAGAGCTCTGGACGGCCTCTCTAAGTAACATGAGCTCAAGAACTGAGCATCAGGATCTTCATGAAATGGGTTTCCATGGCTGAGCAGCTGCACACAAGCCTAAGATCATATGCAATGCCAAGTGTCGGCTAGAGTGGTGTAAAGCTTTACACATAGATTATAAATCATTAAATTAAATAAATAATAAAAGCTGTATTGTGATTAATACCGCCTTAAAAAAGGTTACAAATGGACATGCAGCACTCTTCATATATACACTGCATAAAAACTCCAGCAGCACTGCTGTGTCTGATCCACTCGTACCAGCACAACACACACTAACACACCACCACCACGTCAGTGTCACTGCAGTGCTGAGAATGATCCACCACCCAAATAGTACCTGCTCTGTGAGGGTCCATGGGGGTCCTGACCACTGAAGAACAGGGTAAAAGGGGGCTAACAAAGTATCAGAGAAACAGATGGACTACAGTCTGTAACTGTAGAACTACAAAGTGCACCTATATAGTAAGTGGAGCTGATAAAATGGACAATGAGCGTAGAAACAAGGAGGTGGTCAGAATGTTATGCCTGACCGGTGTATATACCTGTGTGTAAACTGGTGCATGTATGCACTGGAAGTATAAAAACCAAAAATAAGTGTTTACATGCTTATTTCCTCTGACTGTATATTTCAGTGCACTTCTCTGGAGAAACTCTTGCATTTGTTGTGCTCACAGCTTCACCTCATTATCATGAACCGTCACATTTTTTCATTCATGCAAGTAACAGCGTGATACTCTTTCCCTCTGTATGGAAAAGAGAATCAGCCTGGAGAACAAAGAGAAGAGCCACAAGTCACAATGACCATAAATACAGATCCTGAGTTGCTTTACTGTCACTGGTATTAAATTACTCGGTTTCACTGTAGCTGATATGAAATGATGGAAATGATTGACCTGTGTATGTCTCTGTTTGCTGTGCAGGGTGTTGGTGTGGACCCACATCTGTCCCTGGCTCTCCCTGCTGACGCCAGACCGCCCAAAGAGAAGGTGGAGGACCCTGTCATCCCGTCCACAGAAGCCGAGGAGCTGTCAATCAGGATAGGTAGAGCTGCAGCTCACTCAGGCAAGCCTCCCTTCATATACCCACCCTCTACCACCAAACCTGCACGTGCAGAATGTGGGCATTAAAGCGATAGTTTGGTGAAAAATCAGATTTGCTCCGTTACCCCCAAAGCTATGACTGTCCAGAGTTTACTTCTTTAGCTTCAGCATTGGAGCTACGAGGCTAATGTAGCTAATGGTCATCACACTCAAATTGAGGAACCAGACGTCCACCTCTAAAAGCTCCCTCACAAGTTACTACATGAAATGGTTGTGAATTCACTGCCCGATGACTGAGACACTGAGTCTGTTTACATGCACTTAATAATCTGATGACTGCAGAAAGTCAGATTGTGTCAGTAACTGGTTCAGTGTGTTTTTGTGCTCTTGAGTAATCAGATAATGGGAAACTCCAGGTCCACATGAGTCAGGCAGTAATCCGATTTCTGCTGTCCAATCAGCCAATAAACTCACAGAAGACGTGACGTGAATGTAACGTAAAACTCAAACTTCATGAGTGGCTTATTTTTTAAACATCGCACCACTTTACCTGAAACATGAACATACATCACCTAGAAGATGAAGAATACTTAAGTCCTTCATTTTGTCAGCATGTGTTCGGTTTCAGCGTTGCTCCAGAAGTGTTTTGATCTCGTGCTGTGTTAAACGTTGCTCGCTTATTTCTGGTACCGCCGTCTGTTTTCGCACATGTGCAGACTGAGAAATACAGAAAGAAATCAGAGTAAGAGTTTACAGCACTGAGAAATCTGATTACTGAGCCAAAATCCAGCCTCTTTATTGGATTTCTTAATCAGATTTAGACCTTACTCCGATCTAAGAGTGTGCTGTTTACATGACTATTTAAATAATCAGATAACTGCAGAAATCCAATTATGGCCGGATTGTTGAGTGCATGTAAACACGCTCACTGTTAACTACAGCCTTTAAGATGATTCTGCTGTTTTTAGCTATAGAGCCCATTTTCAATGAAATGAAATGAACCTTTAGCCAACGGTGTCTCAACACATCGGAATTAGACCTCCACATTTAACACATCTGTGCAGTGAAACACCATATACACACGAGTGAACACACACACTAGGGGGCAGTGAGCACACTTGCCCGGAGCGGTGGGCAGCCCTATCCACGGCGCCCAGGGAGCAGTTGGGGGTTGGGTGTTTTGCTCAAGGGCACTTAAGTCATGTACTGTCAGCTCAGGGGATCAAACTGGCGACCTCCAGCCCACGACTGCCCCAACATAACATAACAGTTTAATGCAGTGTGGTGAAGCATGCTGTTAGCATCATGCTAATTGCTGGTCTGTCCTCTACCTGTTATCTGCATTAGCCTCGTAGCTCCAGTGCAAAGCTAAAGCAGCAAACTTCAGACAGTAAACGTGTCTTGGCTGATTTTCCAACTATCGCTTTAAAATAAGCAGAAACAAAGTGCTGTTTTAATGTGCCGGTTCTCTGATGGCTCTCTGTGAAGGAACGTCTCTCACACTAGCTGTGATCCTCTGGCTCTTCTCCGTCTCTCCTCCTCTAACAGATTAATCAGTCCATTCATTGTTTCCCCTCAGAATTCTAACATACTCATCAGCGTCTCCACTGTGCTGCTTCAGATCTTTACAGGTGTCCAATCATACACCCTGCTTTATCCTGATGTTCTATGCAGGTACCGGTTCTCCATGTTCTATTCCAGACACTTAAAAACATCTGTAACTGACCCAAACTCCAGTGCATGCAGTCTAACACCCTCTGCAGGTCTTGCCTTGTTTAAAGCCCTTTTTCTTTCTGCCTGTGAATCAATGATGTGGAAAGCAGCCCACTGTAGCTCTTCTCTTTTAAATGGGCCCTTATTATGGAAAACTGAATTTCCTCATTGTTCTTAAATCAAAGACTTTTATAATAGTTTGTAAACGTTGCCCTAAAATGTACCCCTCGATCTCGAGTCCATATATGGAAACATAAGCGGCCTGTTTTGAATTCCCTGATTTAGTGATGTCACACCTACAGTAGGTTTGTCCCGCCCATTCACTCTGAACTTGTAAGGAGTGTTTTAGCCTGGGCTGCTTTTTGAATGAGAGCACAATCCAGGGCAGCCAGTCAGAGCAGAGCTCATTTAAATGTATCAGTCTTAAATTCTCAGAGATGAAAGGAGTCAAAAAAATTAATTATGACTTTTTTTGTCCGATAAAACTTAACAAGTAGGACCCAGAGAAAACAATAAAACCCAAGAACAATAAGATTTAAATGACAGTGAGTTTAATAAATGTTGCATGATTTCAGAGCTTTTCACATCTTATCTTCTTAGTTAGCTGATTCTACAACTAATCATAGCTAAATACGGCGTTGATCTGCTAGTTTCCTTTATTTTATCATTTTGCAGTAACAGGCTTTAAACCTAGAGCTGTTCTGTTGTGATTTTAGCTAGTTAAATTAGCTAACAGGCTAACAGCTAATAAAGCTGGTGTAAAGTAGGTTTTTCTGTAAATATCTTATTTAATGTTTGAGTGTTTTTAATTATTAAAGCTTTTAGTGAGTTTCCACTACAGTAGCAGTGCTTAAGTCAGGATTTTTCAATCCTTGTGATTTATATTCAACTTAAATCTCATCGGTTTTGTCTACACTGAGCATTAGCAGCCTTAGTCCTTAGCCACCCAAGTCCTCCAGTGGTCAGCAGCTCCACTGCGTTAAGAGCTTTTTTTAACACTTCAAACTAAGTGGAAATTAATGCATCACTGGATGCCCTTGTCATTGTGGAACATCTTTATGAAAGACAGTTACAGTCGACGCTCTGCAGCCCTCAGGCCATTACTGCCAGTAGCGCCAAACCCCAGAGGCCGAATCCGAGTCCGGCTAATTAACGGAGCTAAACGAGTGGAAAAACGCTGCGCTTTGCCCACTTTAGGCTACTAAAAGGCCTTCATTAGGCTTCATCTCCTCTCCCAGTCGCTGACAGCCGCAGACCCGGCCTGCCTTTACAGATCAGAACCATTTTCCTTAATCCCACCTTCACCAGCTAGCGATAAGGTGACCCACCTTTCCGGTTTATTAGAGTGGACAATCATGGACGTCTAATGACGTACTTCTTATCTGGTGCTGAGGTTATTATTCATATCACACAAACAGAACGAGGTCAGTCAGTGACGTCAATGTGACATCATGCAGGTGGATCTTCGTGATCCGGCTCTGAAAAGTGCATCAGTTTTGTGAAGTTAAAAAATGGAAGAACATCAGGAACTGATTTCAGATGCTGGACGTGATTGATAGAGAGCCAGAAGAGCTGTGGATGGAACTCAAAGAGGGCGTCAAAGGGGAATCGGAGGAAAACGTGGGAAGAATGAAAAGGAGGAAGGATGACAGACGATATAGTGGAAAATACATAAAAGAGAAGAGAAGCCAAAATCAAGATGGATAAAGATATTTTAAGGGGACTAAACAGTGGATTCCAGAGAGACGTCCAGAAGGACAAGAACGATTACTGCAACAACGTCTGTAAAAATACTGAAAATGGAAACAAATGAGGAAAAAAGGATTGTTTTCCAGAAGATACGCCACAAATATATTTCAGCAGGAGTGGGTCGCTACTGTTACGCTCCTCTCAGATGCAGCTAGTGGTAGAGAGGAGGGAACATGTGGCATGTGGTGGAAGAAAGAGGGGAAGGACAGGAGGACACTGTGAAAAATGAGAGGTCAGCTCAACTTAAAATGATATAGTAACTGATTACATGGCTTTTCTTGAGTTGACTCAACTTGAGGACACCAGAGTTCACCCAACTCAAACTTCTTAGCTGAGTCAAAAAATGTCCCAGCTACTGTTTCTAGCTCTGCGTCTCAGTTAGATAAACAAAACTGGATTTGCATTTATTTACTCAGTTTCTCCACTAGCTGGCGCTCCTATCAGACAGTCCCATCTGCCATATTTTCCTCCTGGGACTCCGGAAATGAACAGCTGTGTCATTGCTGGGATTCAAACTCACAACCTCCTGATGTTGGGATGAATTATTAGAGAGCTGCACCACATGAGACGACGCCCTGCTTTACAGATAAAACAATAAATATTTTCTCCAGTGTTTTAAACATTTGTAGACAGAAAATCATCATGTGTTCCTGAGTGGAGCAGTGGACTAAGCCGTCACCTCAACAGGAGGTTGTGAGTTTGAGCCCCAGTGATGCCACAGCCATTTGTAAGTACGTACCGAAGAGGAAGAATGTCCGGCGGGACTGTGTGATGGAGAGAGTCCTGGCTAGAGGGGAAATGAAGTGTAAAAAACAAGTTTGTTTTATTTATTTATCTGAGATGCAGAACTAAAAAATTTAGAGAATTTTTGACTCAATTAAGAAGTTTGAGTTGTGTGAACTCTTGTGTGCTCAAGTTGAGTCAACTCCAGAAAAGCCATGTAATCAGTGCTTTTTCTTTACTTCACTTCTGCAAAAAGTTTATGATGCAAAAATAATATTTACAAAGAAAGAGCAAAAAAAAAACCATGATGCACTGAGCTCCCACTTACTAGGTATTAACACACAGGATGAGTATGGAGTCAACAGATACGATTGGAGTAGCTGCTGATTAATGAAGTATGAACATGGACTTGTATGATCCAGCCACAAAGGTGAACTGAGGACGGTGCCAAAGAAATGAAATAAATAAACTAAAAACTAATCTGGCCAGACCTAATCTTCACCAAAATGCAGCGGGTGGCACTCACCCCTTACCTGATGTATATGAACAATAAAACTACTGTGCATGTACAGGTGCGCCCAAACGTGCCCGTCCACACCTGGCACTGGAGGGAGAAAAGTGAGAGAGAGAGAATAAGAGAGAGAGCAGCCAAGTGAGACTGACTGGCTATATTTTCAAGTCCGTCAAGAAGCTCAGCTTAACAAACTGCTGGCGCCCCAAAAGTCTCAGACACGCTAAATGCTCCCACACATGACCCCTCTCAGGTGGGTCCTTTTATTCGCCAAGACCCGCCCCTCAGCAGGCAGCAGTGACTGGACCGAAGAGCACAGCCAAGCA